TGTTGTTGTTGGTGTTGTTGTTGTTTGTTGTTTGTTGTTTGTTGTTTGTTGTTTGTTGTTTGTTGTACTAGTAGCAGTCGTAGTAGTAGTCGTAGTATCATGTCATATTCAATTATTAATTAATAGATACTTGTTCATCATTATCACTAGTTGATTACTATAATAATCATTTTATAATTATGAGTATGATTACTGGTATTAATTAATTTTCATTATTTATTTATATCAAAGTACCAAAAATTAACTAGGTAATTGGGCTGAGGATAGTAGTAGGGGCAAATTTAATTAGACTGAAGTTGTATAATAAGGGTTTAGGATTAAATAGCGTGTATTAATTATAAATAATAAGGGTCTTAGGGCTTACAGGGTTTTAGGGTTTTAGGGTTTATAGGGTTACAGGGTTTTACAGTTGATATAGGGCTTACAGAGTTTAATTCAGAAAGCGTGGCAACATAGGAGGGGGGGTCATAGATAAAAACAAAAAACAAATCATCTGATCAAATGCATTGCGGGTCACCTGTCCTCCAGATCCACGGAAGCATCGCGGTCCCGGTCCCTGGCGTGCTTGTCTCGGGCCTTGCCGTGCCTTCTTCTGTCATGCTTGCCCTTGTCGCCGTCCTCCGAGGAGTCCTTCTTCCTCTTCTTCTCGGGCTTCTCCATCTTGGCCGGGTTCGGCTTGTCCTTGGAGCTTCCAGCACCTGTGTCGCCGGGCTCATTCTCCGGCTCCTTCTGCGGCTCCTTCTCCGGCTCCTTCTGCGGCTCCTTCTCCGGCTCCTTCTCCGCCGTTGTCAAAGGAACCACACGAGCGAAGATTTCCAAGGCCGACTTTCCCCAGTCGATTGGGTACATGGCAATCTTCTGTATCTTGATGGGTCGGGCCTTCGCCAGCGGACTCTTCTTGCCGTCCGTGACCTTGTCGTCCTCGGCCTTGTCGTCCTTGGACTTGTCGCCCTTGGCCTTGTCGTCCTTGGCCTTGTCGTCCTTGGCCTTGTCGTCCTCGGCCTTGTCGTTGGCCTTGTCGCCCTCGTCCATGGTCAAGTCCACACTCGGCGGCGGTGGCGGCGGATGCGATGGTGGTGGAGGTGGCTCCTCCATCTTGCCACCCTGCAAGGGCCCTTCCTTTTTCGAGGCCGTAGGCACCGGCTTTGGCACTTCTTTTGGCTGCGTGCTCGGAGAGCTCGGAGGCAGCCCTGCCATCTGCAAAAGAGCCTCGGCTTGGGCCACAAGGAACGGCTGGAAGCTCTGCAGATTCGGCAGCACAGGCAAAGGCATCCCAGGTGGCATCCCAGGTGGCATCCCAGCTGGCATCCCAGCTGGCAGCCCAGCTGGCAGCCCAACTGGCAACCCATGTGGAATCCCATGTGGCATCCCAGGCGGCATTCCAGGCACTGTCCCCGGCTGCGTGGTGGTAGGCATCGGCCCCGGCTGCGTGGCGGTAGGCGTCGTTGAGCCCATGCTTCCCATGCCACCACACATGTTAAAGGCCATGGCGGCCAAGGCCCGCTGTTGGGACAGGGGGTCCATCCTTCAGGATCTAGCAGCCAAAACAACAAACCATGCAAGCTTCAATCATGGTCGTGTCAATCACACCTGAACTTCGATCTAGACTCGCTCTCTGAAACTCAAATCAATCAGCAGACAGGCCCCTTTTTTTCACGGCGGGTAGCAGCTTCGAACGTGAGGACTTCATTCAAATCGCTGCCAAGAACTATCTGCCAAGGTCCCTGCGTGCACCCTGCGTGGTTCGGAATCTTATGCTGAGTTGTATAGCACTACCACTTTGTTCGGACTACCTTGAAACTATCATCCTCACCACCAGTAGTTACACGGGGGCCCCGGCATCCAACTGCCGCCTTTGCACCAGCGGCATTCAGCGGTCCTCTGAGCCTCTGCTAGGGCCTGCTCACGGGCTTGGAGATCTGCTTCCCAGTCCGACAATCGCTTCTCCTTGTTGGCAATCTGCCGGAACTTGAGCTCGACCGTCTTCTCCTTCTTCTCCAAAACCTCGGCCCTTGCTCTCTCGTCCTTCACGGCCGCCCTCTCGTAACCCTGGAGGACGTCTTCCACCTTGGCCAGCATGGACTTGAGCGGCTCGCGAGGGTCCTCGTCCTCGGCCTTCCTCTTA